CTTTTTTTGCTAAGTCAAACACCGCCTTTTCTGTCATTTTAAGTATACAAAAGAGGCCTGTGAAGTCTAGAGTGGCCTGGCCCTCGGCATGACCAAATCGTCCACTTTAACCCCTTTGGGCCCACTGGGGTAACACTTGTTTCGGGCCCATTTAAACCCCTGTGCTATTCTTTTATCCGGGCCATTTGGTGTTGAGAAGATGCGCAACGAAGTGCTCTTTCATTTCATATGCGGAAACCATATCTGAGAACAAGCTTTAACCCTTTCCTGAGCTAAACCATTTTTTTTTTTTTTTTTTTTTTTTTTTTTAAGTCCAATCTAGGTCAGAACATGGATACTTTTCCATAGACTATACATTGAAATATGTCATGCGGCCCCATCAGCTGATCAAAATTTATATTGACTTGTTCAGGGCCCCGTAAAATGGATAAATAATGTTAGTATTGTAATATTGATGTAACTATATTGTGGTTTACGATTTTGTGTGTTTATCGCAAGTAGGTTATGTGCATCAGTTGTCATCATATTTCCAAATATATGGTTTAAAGGGATATTGTTTTCATGTTTACTGCACTAAATCCTCATTTTTTCTGAAAAATGGCAAAACCTAGTCAGTCACTAGTTGGTCAAGCTTGAGATTTTTGGGTTTTGGATTAACTACGTTCTGTCGTATATTTATATTATAACTAATTATAACAAAATCTTAAAAATGGATCCTAGAAACATGAATGCATATAGTAAAACCTAGCAGGATTGAAGGGATTTACAATGGCAAACCCTACTGTTTGCAAGAACCAATCGAATGTACAAAGGATGTCTTATAAAGTTTTGCCACTGGAGGGCAGATCAAATTTCTAATGTTCTGTAACATGTGTACCATTTTTTAGTTTTATAGAAAAACTAGTTAATGGATCAAAAAGTGATCAAAACTAGAAAACTGTAACAATGTGGCCAAATACTTGCTGTACTTACTTACAGTAGTTCGATAAAAACGGGGTGTTCTTACGGGGTGTTCTTAGCGTCAGCGTCATTGGCGGGGCTTGGGGAAGATATCAATCACTTGGTTGGGCTGATGTGTGCTTCAAATAATATTTTGCTTGAATTGATTCAGTTAAGTGTATCTTTAAATTTCTCCACACTCCTGAAGGTCAAGGTAATTACAATGTATAACAATCTACTACATTGCTAAACCGTAGACAAAACAATTCATGAGTTGTGAACCTAACTCTAACTCTCTCTATATAGTAAAAAAAGAATTATATATATATCTGTATAATTCACAGTTTTTCTACAAATAAGCCTACCATATCTTTCCCAGCCAAGGCTTAATTTTAAATTTTTTCATCAGTTCAGCATGTTGGATAAGATATTGTGGAAACAAAATTGTTAAGGTTTAATATTTTTAATATATCGTTGTATAAAGAAATATAAGTTCAATTGAGCAAAAAACTATAAGATAAAAAAGAAGTTGATAATTTTTTAAATGAAAACAAGTACATGCATATGATATAAATGTTATAAACTACTGGTTTGTTAGAGTAATAAGTAGAGGTCTGTCATGGTTTTCTTCATTACAACTAGTTTTACACCCAACCAAGCATATTTAATCCAGTAATAACAGTACATACAATAAGCGTCATCAGACCAATATAACCAAAAGCACCGTAATTTCTTTTAGCAGGGTCTGAAAATATAATTTTCAATGATGATATTTTACATGATGAGTTATTATAAATCATTTTTGTACACAAAATAAGAAAATAAATCATAGTCAAAAATTGAGAAATTTTTTAAAGCAGAAATAAGCTTTTTTATTACTCAAAAATTACTCAAATATATTTCATTGTATAAAGTGAGCACCCCTTCTGTATTGGATCCCTTAAAGGGTAAAAATTCGAGTATTACACTCGCAGATATATGGTAGTCAAAATATCTGCTCACATATGTATTAAAAATTGAAACTTTTTTAAATATACTACTTACCTCCTGTATAATAACCATATGCATAAACTAATCTACTAATTAAATATAATACTCCACTGGCTGCACATAATTTCTAGAAAATAAAATGCTTATATAAAATATTTTGAAATACTGACATTGTAGTTATAATGAAAAGCTTGGATATGATGCAAATGGTGAACACACTCTGAAAATTTGACAGGTTTTAAAAATGTTACAACTAAAAACATGGATTAACCAAATATAAAAATTAAAAAAACACAATTTCTCTTTTTGTGAAGCTGATACATGCTGCAACTTCAAACTTCAAGCAATTGATAATAAAAAGGGATCTTACTGGAAATTGGAGTCCACCAGCTAGTAAAAACATGATAAAAAATGTCAAATTCTCCAATCTGAAAGGTAGGAAAGAAATAAATTACTGCAAGAGTGACAGCCCAATTTATTGGCAACAAAAAACAATCTAAAATACAGGTCATTATAGTATCATACTGATGCAAAACATATTATAACAAGTTATACAGACTTAATCAATATTAATCAGGTGAAGGCATGACCAAACAAAAATATAATAAGATTCTAGTTAAAAGTTTGATTCTTTAGCTGAAAGTAGAAACCTCTTCCAGTTTTTTCTCAAAATTAAAGTATGCATGCCCCTGCCTTTACATAATGAAATAAATATTCACACAGCATTTTACTTACGTATTCTGATGAGCTCTTTGAACACAGTTAAAATTGTGATTATTTGAGTATAAGTTGGGATACTGAAATCAGATAAGAAATAGATTTTAGTTTCAGCATGGCAAATTATGTCCTCATATCACAAACAAGAAATTCTGCTGAGTAAAGCATATATTTGCAATTAATTACAATCACAGTAAGCTTTACTTAATCTATTTTTTAGAGTTGAATAGATTTTTTAACACAATTTTGTAGAGCTGGAATGAATGAATAGAGGCTATACTAGGTAGTTTGATCAACATAAATGATACATTAGAAAAATGACTTTATTTTGCAATAGAGCTCATCTAAAAGAACATTTATTAGAATTAGACAACAACTAAGCTATTTTGAGATTATAATCCCATCAAAGAATTGTGTTATAAATAATTAAAAAGTCAAATTAACAATATTTAAGACATAATTATTAAAATAACTCTTGAGAGACATTATTCTGTTATGCAATTGTCCTCAATTTGGCACATATACCCCTCCATAGTATTGTTTGTCAGCGCATTTTACTCACCTCAACTTTGTATTTCTTCCTGGCCTTCATGACATTCATTGCCAAGATAGTCAGGACGATCCATGTAGCAGGTAAAACTAAGATAACGTAACCATATTCTGAGGGAATATCAAAACCCATTTTCGACTGAACTAGGGTCCTCTTTCAAAAGAAATAATCCAGTACTTGTTTTGTGTTCGTGTGGGTCAAAGTTCAACTCAGAGTCTGAGGTCAGCGATTTATGGAATAAATAGGTCATGTTACTATTGAAACGAAATAAAGCCACAATAATTCATTAACTCTGCCTATGTTTAATGATTTGGAATTAGAGTTCGAGTCTTTAGCTTTTTATAAACAGATAGCGGTCATAGTTCAATCATAGAACAGTATACAGTTCTGTGGTTTAATTTTCGTTTTTTTTATATGTAAATTCAGTTTTTGTACAGAATATGTAAACATCCGGTCCCTCAAAGCGCAATTTACAATTGATATTTCTAGTTTTCTTTTCACCAGATTGTGATTTATCATAAACCCTAGTGCCCTAGTTATTGCTTTAATTTAAGCAGACTAACGAAATGTCCGGAGAGTCTGAGCAATGGAACAACCCGTCTGATGTCATGAAGCGTAGAAAACTCAAAAGGAAATCTAAAAGTATTTGTGGTGGTGCATTGCCCTCAACCAAATTTTGTCAAGACAGTAAATCGACCTTTACTGCTTCAATAAAAAGATCTAATCCGTTCAGTTGTGATGTACCGAATAAGAGGCGGGCCATATCAGACTTATCTCAATTACCAAGTGTTTTCAAAAACAATTTATCAAACGAAACTAATGACAATCTGAATCACCAAGAAGAGGCTCTGGAAAAAAGTGATAATTGTATTATAAAATCTCAGGACTTGCAGTCATCATGCTCTAAACTTTCAGTTCTTGAAGAGGGTTCAAGGGTAATTTTTTTTTTATCATTTTCATGGTGAAATAATAGATCTCAGTTCTTCAAGTTCAAAGGGTTAACCTATCTCTTCGTCTGAACTTTCTTAAATTCGAGTCAAAATTTTACATTTAAGGTAGAGAGTAATAAACCACAGCACACATTAAAACTAGGAATCAACTCCAATGATGAATACAAACAACTTCATGGTATGCTTACAGAATTAAAAGAAAATGTGCCAAATAGTGAAAATATTCAGGAGAAAGTTGTAAGTAATTTTGAGTGAGATACCCTGTACTGTTCAACATATTTGAAATTTTTCTATTTTCAGTTCTCCTTTAATGACAGCTAGTATTGTATGAAGGTAGATAATTATGCGTAAAAAGTAAGCAGAATCAAATTATAACTATGTACATTTGATGCATAGCTCATTATGAATTACTATATGGTTGTTTTCAGAATAAAGAAAACACAATAGATAAAGAAATATTTGAAAAAATACCTATTGATTGGAGTTTAAAGTCTAAGTTACGTATTGCTAGTACAGATAATTTATCATGGTGTATGAACATGAAGTCATTTGATGAAGCTACAGGTCTACAGAGTTTTCTTACTTGTCAAGATAAAGTAGGTATACCTCTGTGAATTTAGAAATATCGAAACAACTATATAACTATGTAGCTATGTGGAATTATGAGTTTACCAAACCTGAAGATAATTTGACAAAAATTTAGTAAGATTTATAAAAATGGGACCTCTCATAAACATTGACTGTGTTGTTGGGTGGGCCCAATAAAGGTTTTTTGTAGAGAGATGGCAAAAGTGCTCTAGAAGGAAATCCAGCACATCCCAAGATGGATGGTTTCAAAGTTATGGGACAAAAATACATGACCTGCTTTGCTTGATCCCTTGTGTTGTCATCTGAAAAAGCAATGTTTGTTTCCTCTAATGGGTATTGATATTCATTCCTTAGATAACTTCATTTCAGTGGGATAGTCCAGAGTCATCTTTTAAAAGATGTTCATTATATTGGCAACATCCAAACTTACCCTGGACAAAATTGTTTCCACGTATTGTTTCAGAAAATAAAATAAGGTATGTAAAGTGTTAATTTCACGGTTAGAACGGATAACAATTTTATTGTATACTACTCTTCAGATTTCACGCTTTTAATCAGGAGTAGTACCGATATATCATAACAAAAAACTTTTCACATTTCACTCTCCAATCAATCAGTCCCTGTGTATTTTTATTTATGATAATGAAAATCATAGAAACATCTTCTATTCACAGATTTTCTTAATTATAACATAATTTTCAAATCAGCTTATTTAGAAATAACCAACAATTTATTTCCAGTCGAACTAATGTTATAGTAAATAATGAAGATATAAAGAAAAGTTTATTCAGTGATTGGTCTGAGAGTTTCACCTCTGTATTCCACCAACTACGCAGTAACTATTGTCCCTATTTCTATATCTGTACCCATCAGTTTACTGTATTATTTCGTGGACAAGGTATAGCTGGGAACTCTACTATAACAGCATTACTGTCGCCTACTACTAGAGGTTTCAGAGAGGCTCTTAAATTAGAAGGTATATATCTATCTTATGGGCATTGGAGCATTTAAGAGGAAGAGGCAATTAGTAGCATCTGGGAATACTTGATCAATTGCTGTTGTTTTGAGCAAATTCACAACTGGAAAATTGCAATCAATGTCAGTTGCTCAGGTTTGCAGTATAGAGTAGACTAATAGTGAAAACAGCTGTAAAAAGAATTCTGAAATAATTATTATAAATATTAAAAAAAAAAGGTCAGCTTGCATGAATGAGATGAATATTTGCTGAATTGATTGAGACATTTTCCCTTGACCAATATTTCGAATACCATAATTTATATATTATTTAACTCTAGGTATTGAATACTCTATGCCAATATTAGAGAAAAAGAAGATGAATATTGAAGGAGAGGTTGAAGAAAATGAGGTGTAAGTACAAAGGTTAATTTGGTTTTAAAAGCAAATGCATCATGCTAGTTTCTACTTACATTATACTGATCTTTAGGTCTTTGGAGTACAGGAGCTCTGAGCTGTGTTTATTTTCTAGAGAAAAAGAATGTAAGACCACAGAAGATGATGGTGGAGAAGACTGTTTAGATACAGATGAAGGAGCGTCGGTTTGGTTAGAGAGTATGGGACTGGATAAAAAACAGTTCCCATCTTTAGATCCAAACAAGGTTAAAATGTATCCTTTTTGATTGAACAAAATATGTTCAGAACTGCAAAGCTTTTGCATTTATTTTGCTCTTGTAAGTTTATGCATGTTTGTAATAGTTTGTTCATCTGCGCTTTAGAGGCTCAGCAACTTGAATTTTGTTCATGTACATCAAAGATCATTGCATTAACAACCACAGGAAGTGAAAAATGTGATAAATTTTATGTGCAATATATATGTATATACAATTACAATTCATATCGATTCACCCCTTTACCAAGATAATCAGACAAAAAGAAGGATATAGAAAAGTTGACAACAGACCAGAATCTATGTTATTAATACAAGGCAGTGAAGTACAGGGGTTGTTTAACTTCCTGTTGAATTGTCGTAGTTGTATAGCTAGTAGTGGTGAACAAGCTGGTCTACCACCAACCATACTGTCACCTACACCTTTTATAGGCTCTACATTTAAATCATATAAGGTCAGTATTGAATATGTTATCTGTAGCAATTATTTTTGTGTTTGAGTTAGTTAGACACACTATCCTTCTAACACTGTATGATATTGATATCAACTTCATGAATGTTACAGTGTTTCTAATCTTTCATTATCTTTCTTTTCCAGGTCAAACATTCAACTGCTAAACAGACAGATAGTGAAGGCAATTCATTTAAATCAAATATTTTAGAAATTACTGGTCCAATATTACCACATAATATTTTAAATTTAACATCATTATTAGAGGAAAGACTAACTAGTGATTTTAGTTTAACATTTAATAATCATGAACCTACTGCTCCCTTTAATATCTATCTTGAATCTCAGACTGAAACCACAAATTGTGATAGGAATAATATGAATTTAAGGCCTGATGTGAACTTTAGACTCTATAATAGCCAACAATTAGAGAAAAATGTGTGCAGTATTAAAATGATCAATAAATCTGACAATGGTTTTTCTGTGACAATTTAAAATGGTGGTACAAAAGTTGACTTTTGTTAAGAAATTGTTAATGTATTTATGTGTAATATATGATATAATAAATTATTCATAAAATGATGGTGATATTTCATTCATTGCAATATTTTTTGTTAAATACAGCCATGGCTCATTGGTTGCCTGCCCGTTGATGTTCCATTCGTAAGTTCCAGCTAAATGTGCTTGTACCATACATTGACATTTAGTTCAGACCACAAACATGAAGACTGGAGTTATCGCCCTTCACCCGTTATACCCATGCTCACTAATGCAAATGATATAAGCAAATTTGTTCGTGATTCATTATGGTGTAATCCCATGTCTGGTGGACCAGAGTATTTCCAATCACTTCCAGGCCATGAGGTAGGCTTACAATGTCTAAAGACGATTTGCTGCATAGTTGCATTTTCCGAAGAATACAATGAACACCGTTGAAACAAACATTGTAACTTGAAGAGTTGCAATTCAGTATGTTTGGACATTACAAATATCATTCTTTGATATTGAAAACGAACACTTTCGAAATGTGAAAGGTATAATATTACGGCCTTGTCTCTTTGATTTATGACGGTCTTAAAGTGATTATGTTGACTATACTTGATACAGTGCAGCAACATTATCACTAACCCGATCAAGAAAACCAACTTTCTTTGGTGGTCAATTTCAAGATTTCAATTAACCTTCTTTGAAAGTGTATGTCTCACAAAATATCCCAAACCTGTAAACGTATTATCAAGATATTCACTGCACTCATAAAAAAACGTTAATTGATTTGTATGTATGAATAAAATTATTGTGAACATATTTGGTGCATATTGCTGCCTATCACTTGTCAATTTCACAACTGCGATATCCTACAGTGACTTGTCAATCATTTAATATTGTTCTACAGTAAACATGTGTTATAGAGGCCTGGTCCTACTTGTCTGGTACTCCCCTTTCAATAGACTACTGGTGTTTCAGTAAGAATCATTGTGTACTGGTATTATAAGAGCTAATGACAGTACTATGGTAGTTTATTGTAGTGAATAGTTAATTACTGTCACTGACTACTTCAAACCTACTCTATCTGTCAATTAGTCAAACCCTTCAAACTAAAAACAATCACTAAGTCAAATGCTTAAGTGATGCCAAGTTTCATTTTGTATTTTCAAAACATGAAAAACTTCTTTTCTGCTTTCAGAAATAGGGAAAAAAGAATTGGTTTACAGAAGCAACATTCTACCGATGTACCTTTAGCAACAATACGATATTATCCACATCTTGATAATATATTACCGTTTCTATATCAATTTAGTTAGTAATCTACCCATGTAGCAAAAGCGTAAATTTGCCATCAGAAGTCTGCCAACAATCTGAGAACAGTATTAGCGATAGGAAATGTCAGATCAGTTTAAATTATCATCACGATGATACTGAAAGAGATGCTGTAGTAGTAAGGACCATTGACAAGTTAGAATGTGATTACTAAGGATTATATTCAATTTTAATCTGAGACAACTGGTATCTGAAATATGTCACCAGATTAACCTCTAGTATTTCTGAATAGAACAACCTCTGTTATAAGATGTCTTTGAACATCAACAAGATTTTCTCAGAGTGTCAGCTAATTTAGACATATCCAGAGGCAAAATAGAACGAGTGGTCCACTACCTCTTTTAGTAGATCGTCAACCATGTGGGGATGGGAGGACCTCCATATTATCTGAATCTTATCAAACGGAAAATGTTCTAAACTGAAGCACGCTGCCTGACAATGAGTGTTAATGTACTGCGGTAGAAAGGGCAGTCTAGCCTGAGGGTTTAACGCCTCGCTCCTTCATAACCATTGTATTCAAACTGATTCCTAGGGTATTTCTAGTATTGACTAACATACCACTTTACTTGTTTATCAAAACTGAATAAAAATAACAATTTAAATCATTAAATACCAGTTGAAAGTCATTTTAGTTTTGATTAGTCTTTCAATCATGTCAAGTGGTCCTTATTTTCTTTGATCGTTTGTATGTTCACCGACAATCAGAGAAAATATGGATCTATTATAAGTCTAAAGTCACTGATGTTCAGAATTCTATACAAGATAAAGTTTAACATCCGATAAACCATTCTAGAATGTGAAAGGGTTATTGTCTACAATCATGTGGCCCAAATATTTATTCATCCAGTATTTCGACCAAACCGTCGATCAAAATGTCCAAGGTTTAAAAAATTCCAATGGAACAAGTTTTTAAAATAAGATTTTCTCTTCGGTGACTGGAATTTTGCCTCGGATGAAATTTTGATTCTTGGTAATAACTAGATTTGTAAATACATTTAAATAATATGATTTCGGAAGATATGTAGGCCTTTTATAAATTGAAAGGAATGTGTACAATGACATGACAGTAACTTAGTTAACCATCTGTTCATTAGGTTACAGTGAACGGAAGTGACGTTAATATAACCATAGTAAATACTATACCCAGGGGATTGATTAAATTACTGCAGGGGACATGTACAATGTATTGTAATTCTATCAAGCATCAGTCCACCATCTTCTAGACTCTATTGTTTGATATCTTAATAAAGTCAACAACCAGTTCATTACATCACTGTGTTTTAATGAAACAATTTCAAAGTATTTACTGTTGTAGTTGAATGTGTCACAGCAGAGTAAACAAACAAATTTTAGACTTGGACTTCCGTTTCTCTTTCTTTGCTCTACTCTTTTATCATTTTATTAACATTTCAGAAATCGACAGGCCTGGTTAACGAGCCACGGAAAGAAGTAAAATGTGGTAGTAATTCTTTTGCATACATTGGTTTAATATTTGCAAAACTTGCAAAAAATGAAATAAGAGTTCTAAAATCTTGAGTTTTCATTAGGGTGTTTTTGATTTACGGCGCTCGTCGTCAGCAAATGTACTTTTTCTTTCAAGACGATCTGAAATGCCCCTATAACTTTTTTCAAAAAAATATTCAGAAGAGAAATCTTGAATTGGTTTCAGTATTATACGTTTTCAATTGTCCAGATAGGTAAAACGTAGAACTCAATTTCATTATAGAATAACTGTCAATTTTCCGGACCATTTGATTAGGATGCGGTTGTACAGCAAACATCTTTGAACCTCGCAAATTGTTATGATTTCTCAAATATTTTAAATTGATAGAGATGTCATGCTGTTTTCAATGGACGTTTTTCAATTTTCTACCGTCTCGGCCTTCTGTTAATATTTAGTTGTCGTGTAGGGTGGGCCTTATACTCACATCTTTTAACTTGTGTTCACTTTTCTTTGATTTAAAAGCTAACAATTGTTGACTGTTTATAAAACTGCAATTATCATAGTAAATGACAATCATTTGATTTAATCTTGTTTATTTATTTGTTTACTCTAATTTAGTATTAGTTGTTTAGTAACTTGTGTGTCGTCGTGGCAGTTGGTCCAATTTGAAGTGAATAAAATAGTAGTTAAAGATAGAAGACGGGATAGTAACAGGTTAATAAGATGGTACCGATTAAGAAACCATCATTAACAATCTGTCGTTTAAATATCGCATTATGTCTTCAGTCTCGTGTACTTCAGTACCATAATGACCAATATGTTAACATAGAATCTTCTTGGATTCATATTTTATTCTATTTCCCCAGATATCCTATAGCTTAGAATATTAACAAATGACTCAGCCTTATAAGTAGTAAATATTCAAGGGTTTTATTCACCCTGATACATCCCGGAACTAAATTTATTCTGTATGTCTATAGTAAAATGCAACATAAATTTATTTTTCTTACATACTTACTCAGTATGATTTTAAAGATGGGTTCCCTTATTTTTATTTATGAAAATGAAAATGCTAATACTTATATGAATAGAAAGTGTACAGAGGTGTTCTAATGACTTCGAAAAATACCAGTTTGTCTCACATGTCCTTAATTAATTCATAATAAGCTAAATTAGAAGAGAATTACCAGCAGAATTGCAATGAGTGACCGATCAAAAAAGGTCAAAAAGATTTTTTTTGTTTATCCAGACTGTACATAATGGACATTTGTGATTGGTTAAAACTCAATAAGAACATAATGATATGATTAAGAATACATGATAATTCATTAGAACACCAATTAATCAAATAGTTTGCTTAATTTGACACTAGAAAAAAGGAAACCCATCTTTAATATGACCAAACTTTCGTTTAATAGAACTAATAAAAAACGGAACGAAAGTTTGGTCTTATGTTAATTAGACTGATAATTACTTTTACTATTTTGAGTTTTATTTTTGAAATATTTTGGGGTTCAAAGCCTTTTAACGTAGCTTTTGAGTTCTTAGTCTGCTTAGTTTGAATTAAATGTTTCTACTCTTCCCGAGTTAGCACCTGCTAAATAGTAAATTGGACCACTTGTAAGTAAACCCATGATCTTCAATTTTCAACCATTTTATATCATAACAGAATATTGAATAGACTCAAGTCTTAACTTGATAGAAAATTTCACGTGCGATTGCGCGTTCATCGGCGTAGAAGTAAGAAGCAGTAGTTAGCGTGTTTGAAGACGGACTGATTTTCAAGAGTCTGTAATGTGATCCTTGTTTGCTGTGCTTACCGAATTCACCTTGGGCAAATTGGGCAATTTAATTGCTACTTATATATGGTGTGTTAGAAACCAAGCGGTATTTGTGATCACTTGATCTAGCAAAATCCCTCTTGTCTTGGTATTTTTCAAGCATTAACATATCAACTTTGGCGTTCCCAACCCTACCGCACTTCTCTTCAATTCTGTTCAACCTTTTCATAATTGACTCCTTTAAATACATCTCGAATTTCATCTCTGAAATTTTCGATTCGATTTAACACAGTAGATAGCCTGCAAAATGATGTATAAAACTTGTTTGAGACAGTTGTAAACGTTGATTTTAGATATCGCACCATCTTCATAAACACCGGAATTGTGACTGAAACTTGTCTACCGCAGTGGTCAACAATATATTAACAACTATATGTATTGTGATGTCAAATTTGATCTCTTAAAGTCAATATAAATGTAGTATCCTTGTTTTGTGAACTTCATCGAATAGGTATTTATGGTTTTCAAAAACAGCTCGGTGCACACTGTCATTAATAACAACGTTGCAAATATCAATAAAAGTAAGTCTCCTTTTGTTCTTCTCCATGAAGTTTGTCCCCACTTAGTTTCCCCATACACCAATTTAATTCATAGCGCAAAATACTTCATTTTTTCAAATAGCCCAAAATTAAATTAACTAGAAGTGTGAAAATAATGTTTTATTTTGACAAAACCAAAGGTGAATCCAGATGGTATCAAAGACTAATGGTTTAAGGACATATTTTATAATTAGAGTTCTCACACTCTGTTCTCAATAGAATTATGGTATGCATCATTTAATACATTATGGCTATGGTATGTGTTATGCCTAGGGAGTTAAAGGAACCCCAGAGTGTATTAAATATGCTTCATTTCTTATATGTAAAGATGTTGATATTAACAATATTTATAGTTGTGATCGTAATTTGATCTAGATCCCTTATTTTACCATCTTTGTCAATCTGTTGCGTCCTTTCAATGACAGAGTTCATTAATTATTTATACCAAGTTTGTCTATATAAATGTTTGACTTAATGGTCTTGGTAACAATACACAGTTATATTTAGTAAACAATTTGAAATTTTGCATTTTTTAAATTGCTTTTTCAAACAGATCATTACCTCGATCTTTGACTTTGGAAAAAAAAACAGTGGTATCATTTAGTATGAAGGCGATATGTATCTAAAATAGAATGAAATGCAAGTTATCATCTTAGTTTATGATTTGAACAAGATTAAGAAGTTACGCTACAAAGTAGTGTATACGTCTTGGAAATCTTTTTACTTTTGTACAAGCTGTAGAAGAGTCGCAACATTACACTAAGGTAGCTCAAAGCTATAGTGACAAGTTAAAACTTTTATAGCATCATTATTGTCGGCCTTGTTATTATTTCCATCAATCACCTCACAATTACTCTGTTTTACAACTGATGATAACTAGTTAAAAACATTACCGACTTATAGTTAACTCTTTATAGTACTAACAAGGAGCAGTTGTCATGATTACTCCTCTATTTTGTAAATCGTAAACACTTTCTTGATGAATCTTTAGTCGTCTTTTTGAGATCATCATCTTCTATAAAAATGTATTACCTCTACATTGCTCAAAGCGAATGGCAGTTCGAAGCATAACTATGTCTTTCGGCAATATGTAATATTACCATAATAACTACTGCTGCCTGCAGATTTCGGAATTATACATTGCAAATTCTATTTAAAATAAATCATACGAAAATATTTAAAAAATTAGAGACCGGGTTAGTTCGGCTATGGGGCAAGTCTGACATTCGTTGATAAGTAACTACCACCAACACCTGACGGTAGATTGCCAGAATCAGACAAAATTACGATGTTCACTAGCCTTGATTTAATGACCAAAGGTGAAATTGTTTCGTCTACTTTTCTGGCATTTACTACATCACATATTAATTAACAATGATGACTTTAAATATGAAGTTTGGTAAGATAATGCCTCTTACAATCTTAGTTACTTTTGCTTAATTCGTTGACGCAGTCAGTTGATACCATGTGTTATGAAAAAAAGGCCGAATGGGGCAAGTCCGGTTATTTTGACAGGGGCAAGGTCAACCATTAATCTAACCATTTGAAAGGCTATAGAAGGAATTTTCGTCTAGACTAGAAATGAAGTCTGGGTTTAGACATTCGAATGTAAAAACGCCTCGCATAGCACATCCCGTTGCCATTGGTTGATCCCATGTAAAAACGTGGTCACACAAACAGTATGTGGATACTTATCACATGATCGGTTATATCTTCCATAACTTCGACTCTGATGATGAATGAAATTGATAATATGAAGACTTACTGCTACTGTTGTATGATAATTGTTTCAATATTTCAACGTTTGATAAAACTTGTCCCAGGGAGTGACCGAGCTTACTCCTACCCGTTTTTGAAAGCGACTTCAATGTCTTTTTTTTCTGATATGTTTCCAGAGAAATTTAATCTTTAAGTCTTTTACACACAGCGAATTTCCGAAAAATGGCCGAACTAGCCCAAGCCTCCCTTACATAATAAGATGGAAATACTCAATTGTACCTGTAAAGGGAATACTTTAAGCTTCTTTAACTTTAAGCGTATACCACACTCACCATTACTAATATGGTTCCGATATTTCATAACATAGTTGGCAAATATTGCAAATTAAATTCAATGTGTGATAGAAGGATGTCTATTGCATGGGACGGTGCCACCGCCCATTCTACCATTGCATTAACTCTAGATAGTTTAATCTCTTGATGTAATAATGAGCAAAGCGTACACAGTACACGCGACATGCCATGATTATTAAGCTGTAAATAAGGTAATTGACGATAACAAGATGTTTATACTGGATGATTAAAGGATGACTTTCTCGTATTTTACTGTCTATTAAGGGATTCATATCGCTACATCTTTATTGAATCCTTTTTATTTTCAACCATAAAAAGTCCTCTTTATCTAAAAGTTCTAACTATTTTCATTCTCGAGCTTCTAGAACACGTTGATCTGGCAACAATAAATTTTGAGGTAGGTGAGGGTCGTTGACAGCGCAATACCAACGAAAACTGTACCATATTATACCAGGAAAAAAACCCCTAAAAACTATGGCTTCAGTAACTCGCTCATAAATCAAAGATTACTGTCTGACCAGCAATTGCAATTTGAACTCCAAAATTGTATTGAGAGCGTTTAATTTTCCTCAGGTTCATGAAAATAATTTTATTTAAAAAATGAAACTCTGAGTTCAAAATTTGGGTCATTTTCTGGTGAAATGTGTTTATTCAAAATATAAAAACATTAGACACAGGTGCAAGCAATTGAGATTAAACTTTATCTCGATATTTTATGCAATCCAAAAATAAAAATTTCTTTAAAAAGGAAATTATTGCTCTTTTGTTTTCCTGTCAACTTTAAGCTAATATGGTATAGGGTATGTTAAGTGCAATCACCGTTGTAGGATAATAACATTAACATAATCAGTATATTGACAAAATACAGTAAGTACTAATATAAGTATTTTGACAAGGTGTAAACAATCTGTTTAAGGTGATATAATTTAGTCTTTAGAGACGGTGAAAAGCCGCTAAGAATTATGAAGTGATCGTTTGGTTGACTTCACAGTAAAGGTATTGACGTATGTAATAATAATCACTGATTCTATTTAATACTTATTATACTATTATCTTATTAATCAAACTCGTATTATTCACGACTTTTTAATTGCAATTAATATTCAATATTAATAATATATTAATTATGATGACAGTAATTATATATTCATCATATCAACATGATGTTTGTTATAATTTTTGAAACATAATAAATAAAAATATTATAAGAAACATAGATTACGTGTACCTGACGCTAATTAAGCCTAAAAAAAACTCACCCACCCCACCTTTCTCAAATTTAAAACAGTTTATATAGTATATATTATATAGTTTCTGCTAGGATATTATCAGGTACAACAATTTTTAAATCTATTTTAATGGATACAAAATAAATACCGTATATATTTGATTTTGTCTGAATTTTATGAATGGAGCTTATGGTATTTTATTTCGACAGTTTTTATTTAAACTTTTTCAACAGTTTCATTCATAGTTCGCTCTTGAATAACATTTCGGATATTTTACTGCTTAAGGTACGATTGCCAAAATCAGTTTAGACATTTTGATTTGCTTGTCCATTTAGAGAAAATCACGAAAACTTCCAGAAACATTCTGAATGCTCACTGTTATTTTATTGTAAGAAGAAGATTTTTGAGGAAATCGAAGATTGCATGATACAATTTGCTTAACATTTTTCATCAGAATAAACCTGAATATATTATAATGTTAGTTAGTTATTTGGAATTGAGATTTCTCAATAGGGACCAAAATTATCATTAAGATGTTTTGTAAATAAAGTAAATTAGATTGTCAACAAGTGTTAATAACCAATAGCAAACCGTCACAAACTGTCAATCACATCAAATGTTCACACTAACAGTGTCATAAGTTTACTCTTAATCTTTGGTTTTATTTGTTATTGGTTGATCCTCTTTTCTTTCCTATTGTACTTAAGTCACGCCCAGTTAGTCACCACGGGTGATCCGTACGTCGCATATTTAAGTAGAAAAGGGCACTGCTAAACTATTTACATCTGAACTAGTAAATAGTGAACAAGGAAAAGTATTTCATATAAGTGGAAGAAAGGGTTTTCAAAATGACGCCTTCAGAGGAAAGTAGAGAATATATAGATGTGATAGGAGATGACGATCATGAAGATTCTAATTCGATCAGCGAATCTGGAGATGGTAAAAGGAAAACGAGTTATACATTACGTGGACTAAATGATGATGAGATTCACGAATTGAGATCCAAAATCAACGGTCGCGAAAGAAAAAGAATGCATGATTTGAATTTGGCTATGGAGGAGTTAAGAAACGTCATGCCTTATGCTAAAGGTCCATCAGTGAGGAAAATCTCCAAAATTGCGACTTTATCGTTGGCTAAAAACTATATCAGTATGTTAACTAAAACTGTAGAGGAACTACGACATTTATTAGATGATATGTATAGAAACGGTCCCCAGCATCATCCGAGATTGCCAGCAGCAAGTTTAGGACATCTTTCAGTACCATCTCCTTATATACCACTATCTCCTCCACCAACAGCGTCTATTGTAGGGGTTCCACATGGCTTTACGTATCCCTCACCACCGCCTGCCCACCACTTACCCGTACCATCAACGACACACCACCTACCCATACCACCAACGACACACCACTTGTCAATACCACCATCGGTGCGTCACTTACCAGTACCACCAACGACAAACAACTTATCTGTATCGTCTTCATCATCTCATCTGCAAACACCCTTGACAATAACTTGTACGTCATCATCCTGTAGCTGTTCGAGTTATCCTCATTCTCATAGTGCACCACCGTATCTACCACCCAGTGTCCATCAAGAGAAACCACATCAGCCACCAAAATACTTATCCTGATTTTTTCAAGGACAGAACGTGACTTTCAGCATCATAGTATAATGTGTGATTTGTTTTGAAATATTTTATCAGTTCGGTGTGGTTTGTTCATTGCTCCAAGCATGCAGCTTTGGAATCGTCTTATACGATTTAATATCAATTGTAATATCTGACAGAAATTACCTTTTATGGATGGTGAAATCAATTGTTACTTCGAAATCAGAAATATATCTGTCCACCTAACCCTAATCCTGTACAATAAGGATATTCGCCACCTTCGAACTTTTAACTGGTGATGACAGCCTTTTCTATGACGACAAAATTGGTGTATGTCAGATGGAAGCCTTGTTTGCTTCTGCTATCAGACTAAACTGTTACCATAGATTTGGTAATTGGATACAGACCTTGGTTACACTTGTCGTGTTGGTTTTATTGGATAAGACTGTAACACTATGTTTTGATTGGAAAGTTCAGATTCGTTCATATCTCTTCAGATCAAATTTGGGCTGTTATTCAATGTACAAACTTACGATGAAAATATCAAAAAGTTTGGATGTTCCATGACAATGAACATATTTCCGCTCGTTTGGTTAATTTTCAAATGACAAAGGTCAAATTTTAACGTTTCAAATGAGATTTGCTGAAATTCATAACTTATTGAGGATATTGACTTTAGACTGAATTATTTTTGTGTGATATTTTTGGTTTATTTCAAGAACAATTTTCTTCAACAAATCAAGCGCTTGATGTCTTTAATGTTCATGATAATAAAATGTTATATATTTATTATAAACTGGTCTCAATACATAGCTACGTGTACATGTACCACTAAACGTCATCAATATCCATTTGTGGCCCCCGCTCGACCCCTCACCTAATGTTTCTACAAAAGCCACTGGAAACACAATATTGCTCCCTTATGAATTAAAGTCTTACAGAATGCTATACACTGATTAAATTCACCAGCATATCAATCATAACTCCATGGCAGAATTCAAACAGGACTTCATTGAATATCTATTTGTTCGAGACGATGCACATGAAAAATGAATTACCAATTAACGACATTGTACAGCAAATTGGTCAAGAATTGAATAACGCAAGGCGAGAGTTTGCATGATACTATCCAAAGGTTAATTAGTTGGAATGGTTTAAAGAATCACTTGAAATAATACTGGAAATGTCAAAAATTCTCCCTAAAACTCTGCTCTCCAAATCGCCTGAAACTGTTTACGAGGAAATGTAAACATGTGAATGGGACTCGGGTGCCATCAATACACGTCCACAGAAATGTGGTATGAGAAAGCAACTAGGCATGATATTGTTTAATGAACAGTAATTCACAACAGAAGCTAAAAAAGCATAGATCAGCACAATTGTTGCATGCTACTTATGTAAAGAAATAGATTAATAAATTTCTTAGTTTTGTTTTCGATCTAGAACTCCAAATATCTATTTGGTTATAACTTTTGAATTTGTACGCATTTGCAATTTTTTGAAATTTTAAACTGACAAGTAACCTAGTCTCTGATTAAGAAAGAAATTACTTTATTACACGAAAGAGCTAAATTTTAGCCATTTGTATCATTTTAAAATTAAAATCTGACTTCTTATTCTTCTACATTTTAATATGTACAACTGTGTAAGTTCACCTTATGTTAAAGATGGTTTACCTTATGTTAAAGATGGGTTCCCTTATTTTTACTTATGAAAATGATAATGCTAATACTTATATGAATAATAAGTGGAGGTGTTCTAATAACTTCGAATAATACCAGTTTGTCTCACATGTCCATAATTAATTATGGAGAATTGTCAGCAGAATTCCAATGAGTGAAGGTCAAAAAGTCTTTTTTTGTTTATCCAGACTATACATACATTGAAATTTATGGTTGGTTAAAACTCTTAATCATATGCAATAAGAACTTAATGATATTATTAAGAATACATGATAATTCATTAGTAACACTAATTAATCAAATAGTTTGCATAATTTGACACTAAAAAATAAGGAAACCCATCTTTAATTCATTAAAAACTTCGCATTGCGATTTTGTTGAATTGTAAGAGAACTAGAAGTCAAATAACTAATTTAAGATTATTCAAAATAAGATGCAGTTTGTATGGCTGACAGACATGCTATTAAAACCTATTTACGTACATAAATATTGTGGTTATTTACATAATAAATTTACAACAAAGATATTAACATTTACAATATACAGAAGAATATAAAAACTATGAACATTATTTGATTCCAACAATAAGGTTTTTAGGCCCACAGATCTTCTGTTCTTCCAAATTTAAACACCATTCCACTACAAGAAAATAAGAAGATACAATATATTTGAGAAAATCATACAGCTTACAGAAAGCTTATTGATACAATTATTTTTCTTGTTTTAAGAAGGAGAACTGTAACATATCTAGACAATTAAGCTCTGTTTTTTAAAGTTCTTATGTTTATTCTGATCAAATCAAGCTTTTCGTTAACTGGAAGATATACCTTCCAATGAGTATTTTAAAAATAGACAGTTTAGATATACAAAAATAAGTAAATGTTTCCAGTGTAATTTCAACTCACCTGAAGAAAATCAAAGCATTTTGAAGAAACACAGCAATTCCAGGCCAATCAGGTATATCACCTACAAAAAAATTAAGATATCAAATTATAAAAAGAGTGTGTTCTGAACTCAAAAATTGTTCCTTACATTTTAATGAGTATCAATTCAAAAACTAGAAAGCTCAGAAAGAACAGTTTGGTAGTAAATTGTGCACAATTTTATTTTGCTATAAGTTGAGAATTTTGTTTTTGAATTAAATGATTTTTAACCTACCATGATTTCCTACTACATAAAAACCAAACAAAATCCAACAAGCAGCAATGAGAGCTCCAAATGCTAACAAGAATCCAAAAAATAGCCAAACTCTAGCACCTGGAAAAATAATGACATTAAAGTATTACAACAGGAAATATTTGATATTTCAACACTGAAAACAACAGTATCTATATCTATATATTTCAGCATTGAATTATCTTGATCAGTGTGTGGAAGTCTAAGGACTTTGAATAAGTCATCTTCACTCATAATTCCTTGTCAATCCAGCTGTAACTGGGTACAGATAATCCCAGAAAGATCAATTCCAAGAGATTGGGCCAAGGACCAGTTGGTAGAAAGGATCATCTGTGACACTAAGTTGTTATCCTTATAAAATGTAGTCGTTCCTTCCTTTTTCTTTTGCTTTTTTGAACATTAATAATACATTACAAGAAGACAACATCAATTCTAAGGAGTGTGTTAGTTAACTAAACAAGTTTGAAAATCAGAAACATTTATTCTGAAACAGAAATAATGTTTCATGGACAAAAGTCTGTCTTTTGAACCAGACTTAAGTTACTAAACTATTGTGGATCTTAAACAAAATGAAAACTTACCAGTTTGACCTAAACAACCATTAGTATAAGATTCACCTCTTATTTGACCAGTAGACACAGAGTTCATCCTAAAATATAAATAGATGAAAAAAACTCCAAAATTTTAGATATTGATAGGGAACCTTTGTTATTATCTACTAACAATATATTTTAGACATTGCAGTCTTTGGGTGAATAATATGGCATAAGATAACTTTATATCTGAAGTTGATATAATACATCTATTAGATACAATAGTAAAATCTGATGAATGAAACCAAAAATAGCTAAATATAGTAAAAACAAAAATTATCTATGTACATTCTTTGATGGATGGCTAAATAACAAATATACATGTATACAAAAAGAATGTTTAGCTGATATGACATATATCTATATGATAAGGTAGTTTTGTAGTAGACTAATTACAGAAAGAATGCTATAGTTGATATGACACATCATACATGGTGTATGATAAGATAGTTCTGTACTAGAATAATTACAGAAAGAATGCTATAGTTGATATGACACATGTGTCCGATAAGATAGTTCCATAGTACAATACTTACAGAAAGAATGCTATAGTTGATATAACACCTGGTGTATGATAAAATAGTTCTATATTATATTCCTTACAGAAAGAATGCTATAGTTGATATAACACCTGGTGTATGATAGGATTTTTCTATAGTGTATTACTTACAGAAAGAATGCTATAGTTGATATGACACATGTGTCCGATAAGATAGTTCCATAGTACAATACTTACAGAAAGAATGCTATAGTTGATATAACACCTGGTGTATGATAAAATAGTTCTATATTATATTCCTTACAGAAAGAATGCTATAGTTGATATGACACCTGGTGTATGATAAAATAGTTCTATATTATATTACTTACAGAAAGAATGCTATAGTTGATATGACACCTGGTGTATGATAGGATTTTTCTATAGTATATTACTTACAGAAAGAATGCTTTAGTTGATAATACACCTGATGTATGATAGGATTTTTCTATAGTGTATTACTTACAGAAAGGATGCTATAGTTGATAATACACCTGATGTATGATAGGATTTTTCTATAGTGTATTACTTACAGAAAGAATGCTATAGTTGATATAACACCTGGTGTATGATAGGATTTTTCTATAGTGTATTACTTACAGAAAGAATGCTATAGTTGATATTATACCTGGTGTATGATAAAATAGTTCTTAGTATATTACTTACAGAAAGAATGCTATATTTGACAATACACTAAGTGTATAAGATAGTTATGTAGTAGAATTTATAGAAAGAATGCTATAGTTGATAATACACCTGATGTATGATAGGATTTTTCTATAGTGTATTACTTACAGAAAGAATGCTATAGTTGATATAACACCTGATGTATGATAGGATTTTTCTATAGTGTATTACTTACAGAAAGAACGCTATAGTTGATATTATACCTGGTGTATGAAAAAAAAGTTATGTAGTAGAACCATTATAGAAAGAATGCTATAGTTGATATGACACCTGGTGTATGAGAAAATAGTTCTATATTATATTACTTACAGAAAGAATGCTATAGTTGATATGACACCTGGTGTATGAGAAAATAGTTCTATATTATATTACTTACAGAAAGAATGCTATAGTTGATATAACACCTGGTGTATGAGAAAATAGTTCTATATTATATTACTTACAGAAAGAATGCTATAGTTGATATAACACCTGGTGTATGAGAAAATAGTTCTATATTATATTACTTACAGAAAGAATGCTATAGTTGATATGACACCTGGTGTATGAGAAAATAGTTCTATATTATATTACTTACAGAAAGAACGCTATAGTTGATATAACACCTGGTACATGATAAAAAAGTTCTTTAGTATATTACTTACAGAAAGAATGCTATAGTTGATAATACACCTGATGTATGATAGGATTTTTCTATAGTGTATTACTTACAGAAAGAATGCTATAGTTGATATGACACCTGGTGTATGAGAAAATAGTTCTATATTATATTACTTACAGAAAGAATGCTATAGTTGATATGACACCTGGTACATGATAAAAAAGTTCTTTGGTATATTACTTACAGAAAGAATGCTATAGTTGATAATACACCTGATGTATGATAGGATTTTTCTATAGTGTATTACTTACAGAAAGGATGCTATAGTTGATAATACACCTGATGTATGATAGGATTTTTCTATAGTGTATTACTTACAGAAAGAATGCTATAGTTGATATAACACCTGGTGTATGATAGGATTTTTCTATAGTGTATTACTTACAGAAAGAATGCTATAGTTGATATTATACCTGGTGTATGATAAAATAGTTTTTAGTATATTACTTACAGAAAGAATGCTATATTTGACAATACACTAAGTGTATAAGATAGTTATGTAGTAGAATTTATAGAAAGAATGCTATAGTTGATAATACACCTGATGTATGATAGGATTTTTCTATAGTGTATTACTTACAGAAAGAATGCTATAGTTGATAAGACACCTGATGTATGATAGGATTTTTCTATAGTGTATTACTTACAGAAAGAACGCTATAGTTGATATGACACCTGGTGTATGATAAAATAGTTCTATATTATATTACTTACAGAAAGAATGCTATAGTTGATATAACACCCGGTGTATGATAGGCATGATTGAAATCAGCTGATGAAGGATATACAGCTGCAGCATCAATAACCATCCACCAACCAGTGAAAAACTAAAAATAACAATGAATATAGTATCAAACAAGTCAAGCAACTATCAAAAGCAAAAGATATAGCAAAACATATTTTATTCATATCAATATCATACCAATACTTTTTTTTAAATAACAATATAAAATTTCATTTCGTCTTGCAAATAAGATGCCTATCATAGACTTTGCATCAACAGTAAATGTGTTGCTGACATAAATACACCAACGTGGAGATCATGGTATGTAAGTAGGTCTACAAAGATGGCAATAGGCATAATGCTTAGGGCAAACATGTTTGATAATAATCAGTCATTTTTTGGTGATTGTTTTTTTCATTTGACCGCCCTACGATGAGCCAAGCTCCATAGAGCGTCATCATCCAATAAGAGAAGTTCTATTTTTATATGATACAATAAATAAAATAATTTGTTTATTATTATGAAATAATAAATATTATCATATCAAAATTTTAAACATAATGACATCACAAAATGGTGACAGGTATGAACAACTTTAAATCGGTCGGTGAATAATATCTTGACAAGACTCTAGTCTGCGACAAAAATCAGCGACCAAACCATTCATGTGCCCTAAGCTTAACGCATTTTGACTTATATGCAGTAGTGTTGTATCTACTTCCATAAAGCTACATAAATACATGAACCAGTACTTACCATAACACCAGAAATTACAGAGGCAACATAATTTCTTCTTTCACCTAATTCTATACAATCACATTTTGGCCATTGACAGTTATCAAGGAAACCAGACATTTTGGAACTATTTATCTCAATCTAAGCCTATAATAAGAAAAATGTCATATTGGAATGATATTAGACACCGGGTAGTCTTCAATAAATCATTTTTCACTTTATAATAATAATAATAATAATAACAATCTATTTATATCGCGCTGGTATTTACAACAGTAAAGTTGCTCTTTAGCGCACATAATGTTTTAAAAAAAAAAACAAAAGACACACACACATATATAAAATAGTTGTAGATATATTTCATTTTCAGTATCCGTATCAAAAGTCATGACTCTATATATCATAAACAGTAGGCCTACCTAACATTATCACTACCTGTATCAGACTCAAACTAAAGTCAAGACTTGCTCTATCCTCTCACCATACTTATATACCAGTGGTATTTTGTTCAGCCATGGACTGAGATTTTTGATACATATTTACAGTTCAGAAGTAGCCTGTAAATGATGTCTTTAGGGGTGATACAGTGTAGACAGAGTAACTCCAAACATATCATTGACATTTTAGGGTCAAAGTAGATGGTAGCGTTCATACCGCCTGTAGTATTTATTTCACTGGTGGCCAAGAAGGGTAATTAACGCCTTATTGTAGATTAATTAACATAGCCTAGCATGATTCACAATCCCCAGACATTGCCTAATAAACAGGACATTATATGCATTTCATTTAGTGCTTGAAGTCGAACAATTCCTACAGTGTTGACGTTTTCCCTTGTGACGACGGACAATTCCTACAGTGTTGACGTTTTCGCTTGTGACGACGGAAACTCACACAGAAACACAGAACTTACAAATAATAAACATTGGAACAGTACCTTACAAAAGAACGCTGAAAAGTGTAATAATTAATTTCAAAAGATATTTATATTATAACAAATCTTGTGATGATTTGTCAATATATTCACATTTTCCTTTTTTCAATGGCAACCTTTTCTGTTTTCTTTTCACGAGTAATGAAAACTACTTTTATGGGAGATAATAAATCTATAATTATGGTTACCTCCCTTCGATCGACAGTTACAAAATCCAGTTGTGATTTTTCGAATCATCTAAATAAGATAAACATAATAGTTCGTTTCTACAGGCTTTGTCCGTACATTTCCATTAAAAAATAATGTAAACTGATAGATATAAATGTTGCAATAATGTGGCACACAGCATACCATATTTCATAATTCCCCAAACCCTAGCTAACCCCAACTCTGTAACATAGGTCTCACTAACCTAGTGGTTTTGGGGCTTGCTCGGAAGCTTCCTGGTCGAGTGTTCGAATCCCAGTAAAAGCTTTTTGAAATTTTTTTTTTTACTAATTCAAACACTGTCTTTTCTATTATTTTTGAATTTACAATTTTATTCTGGAAACAATTGATAAGGCTGTGCACAAGTTTCCTTGACTGCAGTTTACCATTTGGAGTCGTTTTCGAGAAGGGTATAACTTTGTCATGGGCCATTTAAACTGAGTTGATATTTTCTTCACCAATTTGTGATGAAAAGATGCACAACGATGTACTCTTTAATTTCATATGCGAAAATCACATCTTTTAACAATCTATCACCCTTTCCTGAGCTAACCCTATTTGACTTCGACAAAAAAGATGTTTACCCTAACGTTAACCATAACTTTAGATAATTCTCTCCGTAAAACCCAGTTCTCCGTGGCCAAGTGATTTTGGAGCTTGCTCGGAATCCAAGTAAAAGCTTTTTGAATCTTTTTTTTTAACAAACAGTCAAACACTGTCATCTATCATAATATCCGTCAAGTCATCTCTATAACTCAAATGTCATTTTGAAAACATTATTGCATTGTTATTTTCTTAAATGGTAATTTCAAACGCAGTCCTTATTTAGTTCTTTTCTACAGGCTTAGTCCGTAGCCTACATTTTCTTAAAAAAAAATAATGTAAACTAATGAACATAAATGTGGCACACAGTCATACCATATTTCATAATTCCCTGAACCCTAGCTAACCCTATCTGCGGAACCTAGGTCTCGCTGGTCTAGTGGTTTTGGCGCTTGCTCGGAAACTTCGGGGTCGAGTGTTCGAATCCTAGTAAAAGCTTTCTGAAAAAAATTTTTTGTTACTAATTCAAACACTGTCTTTTCTATTATTTTGAATCTGCAATTTTATTCTGGGAACAATTGATAAGGCTGTGCACAGCTAACCCTAATTGCCCTTAACTGCAGTTTAAGTTAACCGTTTGGGGGCGTTTTCGAGAAGGGCAAATCTTTGTCTTGGGCCATTTATACACCTGAGTTGATTTTTTTCTGCACCAATTTGTGTTGAAAAGATGTGCAGCGATGTACTCTTTAATTTCATATGCTAAAATCATATTTTTTAACAATATATGACCCTTTCCACAGCTAACCCTATTTGACTTTGACAAAATCTGTAATCTGTAATCGCTTTCGTAACATTACTTAACTTCAATGTTACAATTCCATGCACAACGATTTATTCCTTAATTTCATATGCGGAAATCATATCTTTTAACAATCTATGACCCTTTCCAGAGCTAACTCTAATTGCCTTTGACCACATCTAAACACATTTGGAGCTATTCTCGAGAATATCAAATACGAATAGTTTCTATGATATAATTGGGATGTTTATAATTTACTTCCCTAATGTTACAGTGATTATAAATGTCAAAAAGGCGTCTAAAATCATGCTTTATTATGTTTTCCAAGATGTGCATAATGCTTTCCTTTCATTTCAAGTATATGGTAATCTATGCTAGTCTACCCTTTCTCAATATCAGTATCACATGCATCCTGTGGTCTGATTAGTATTTTCAGACTTTTAACAGCAATTTAATTAATAATTTCCAATTTTTCACAATTAAAAACTACTCATATCTGAAGCTCATAACAATACCGAATCCCCTTGTGAATGGTTTGCTCTCAGACGAGCTCGGCACACCCAGTGTTTCCACAAGATTTGTGGCAACGTTAATTTTCTTTCTATTACCTCGCTACCCAGGTTATCGATGACAAAATGTACGTTTTCAACGTTTTCGTGGTTTTCAATACAATTAATATCATTGGAACCGATACGTATGGCTAGTTTTATGTTTGAGCATGACATGAGTTTTGTGTGGAGTCGACAAGCGTTTAAAGTTTAATTTGAACTGAAGTAATGAGGCATGCAATATGATTTAGTTATCATGGGGAGCTGTCAACTTGACTGGTGCCATTAAACTATCTACAAGAATTTTGTTAAATTATTTTTCATTGTTTGTCGTCTTACATAAAGCTAGACGAATCTTTACACGAAATTTAGTTTTATGACTACTTTTGTGTTTCTGTGCACTTTCAGAAAATATTGCTTTTTGAGGGGATATGTTAAGCTGCTACAATTTATTGACGAATTCACACAAAGGTACAATGAATGCATCAAAATCAACCCCAGATTATAGCCACATATTGTTTTATCCTAGTCAGATATATCTGAACCAATAGCAAATTGATAGACATTATTAGCCATGACCACTCCTTTAATGTTGCCGGGTTGACAGATCTATAGTCTGAGAGTTGCATCAGGTATTCCAAAAGGTTGAACATGCTAAATGGTGGCTGTTGAAACACCCACAAAAATGTTCTGTTGCTCGTGTGACATACACACTGTATAAATTGTTATTAAATTAAGAACTGAAGCGATTGAATTGAAAATGATGCCAAATAAACCTACCAAAGCCATAAGCGCAAACACGTGGAATAAATAGCTTAATTACTCAAGAACCTTTATTAGCTACTCAGACCAATTGCTGATTTGCGGAACGTATAGTCAATCCGTGCCTTATTGTTACGACAGCAACTGTCTAAGATAAAGTCTGGGTTTTACCTGTACAGTACAATGTACAACATAAAGTTCAACATTTTATAAAACTTTTTTTCTACTGAAGCAATTATTTTTAATTTGAAGTCGTCTTCATGCTGGGCTCAAACATTTGTGTTCACCGTAGGCGATGAGCTATATGCTACACTGTCAGGAGGCACGCTGTCAACATAATGTAGCAAATTATTTCTGCCTGACATAACTGTAATCTTTGGTTTTTGCCACCTTTAATGCATCAAAGAGATTGGGTCACATTGAATCTCATACCATGGTATTTATCTATTAATCTTTTATAATTTAAGACTCTTTACATTGCTAACATTGAATAGTGCTTAAAGTCTCCTGTTGCTTTCTAACATACTGTAAACTGGTTATTGTCAATGATGAAATGCTGTTTATATCAAATCCAAGTCTGCACATGTAAACTATGTTTTAAGTTGATAGTAAGTTTATTGTAGCGTACGGTTTCTCTTTATATCTGTATTTACTTTCTATTTATATATTATGTCTTCTAAATTAGAAAGGTTATTGCTCAGGCTAAGGGGTTTGCTCAAGGTTGATGGACAGAACCCTACAAAATGCCCTTTTCTTCGTAATAAACATAAAATATACCGTTACCTATACATGCTCTTTTATTTACAAGCCCACAGTTGCATACAGTCAACGAATGTTAAAGCCTACAATATTTTTTTTAACAATGTCAATTTTTTTTAGGTCACTAAAGGAGTGTCAGAAATATAGAGCATCTTTGCAAGTGATGTAATGACGACAATGCTTTTACTGAAGAACAACCCTCAATATAACTGAAGGATGATCGCTCAATGTGGACACATGCTCCTATACAAATGTATTCAGTAATTAGTTTCATTACGACACTTGCCAAACAAATTATGTGTCGTGAAGAGCGGGTGGAATCATTTAAACGTAAAACCACATTAAGTAACGTAAGGTATCATATGGTTACAAATCTTAATGATGTTTTGTTCAACTTTCAAGTGGTGCTTGAAACATGTCAACCATTATGTAGTGAGTAAATAAGCTCACTTCGTAATATCAGTCGTGAAAAAATAATATTTCAAAAGATTAATAGAAAATGTTTGAGATTCTAATTGTTCTATTTCATAATTTTCGAGTAGTTATTATCATTTAAACGTTTTGAATACCTTAATGGAACATGCTTAATTTTTTTCCCTTTTCAATCTTGTATCAACAATTTTGACGAAAGTAGAAAAAGTGAAGTGGGAATTGATAGACAGATTCATTGAATGAAAGTGGTGAAAATATGTTGAAGATTTGCTTGTTGAAACTACATCTTGCCTCCATACAAAGAGTTTTAACACATAAAGGTGTAGATAGTTGAGATGATAATTACAAGCTATATAGATTATTATAAAGAATAACAAACAATATAATGACAGCTGTACGACTCTATCCCACGGTGGAAATAAATAGAACGACAAACTATTCACCAGTTCCTTAGAATATTGGTAAATAAGATTTAATTTAACAATGAAGAAGCACCTTGCTACAAGAGTGTGGCTATTGTTCGATATACTGGTCTGAAGTGCCATCGACAACCACCTTTTTATTATCTCCAACATTTAGCTAGAATACTTCTTATCACAAAACAATAAATTAGAAATAAAAAGTTAGCAAGGCTTTCCATTAACAATCATAGTACTCAAATAAGGTATGAATTTGATGGACTGAAGTGTTTTTATCTTCTAGACAATTTCTACAGTGCAATATTTGAGCATATGGATTCTTCAATAATAATAGTTCTTTTATTTTTAAATCCTTTAAGTTATGACTTCATTCATGCTGATATTCAAAATTTTAAAGTTCTTGAGGCAATCTCGTAAGTAAATATGTACACTGGCATAAAGAGAATATTTTTTCAATGCGGATTAAAAGTGCACACAAAGCAGTTGACTCTTCTTCAGGAAATCTTCAAAAGTTGACAAGAAAAAAGAAAATTTAAAAGATGAACTGGCAATATGAGTCTTAATTCAAATGAAAATCGCAATCAGAAGTTATCTAATTCTAAAGCTGACATATGGCGCGGTAATAAGATGACTAAAATCAATG